GAACCCGCTCGGCGCGGAAGGCTGAACGGCGCCAGGGGCCAGCGCGGGGCTCCTGGCTCCAGCCAGTAGGGAAACAGCGACACCTACTGGCTGCATGGCACCGCGTTGGGGCCGTCGGGGCGGCCCCGGGTTGGGGCTGACAAGCTGTGTGGACTTGGGAGGCCTTAGCAACCGAGGCTGGGCCCGCCCCTCTAGGCCTCTCTTGCCCGGAGGAAGGCAAAGCCTCCCCTTCCAGAGACCCCTAGGGGTACTGTAGGATAGGACTGAACACTCTTGCGGGCACACTGCCCTCCAGCCAAAGGCTCGCTCTTCTGGGGGAACCACAGGGACCCTCAGATGCAGTTGGCCGCTGTCTCCTGGTTTTATGATACCCAGGAGGTTGGAGCCCTGACCTCTTCGGGGTTATGACCCAGGCCTCTTCTCCACCACCTCTATTTTAGTGCCGACTAAAGATGATATCTTTACAAATTAGGAACCGAGGAGAGTTCATTATCCTCCCTTAAGAGGGGAAACATGCGAACCAAAGACACAGATTCACAAGAAGTGGCCGGCGGCAGGCACACTGAGCGGCGAGTTCTCCTGCTAGCCAGCCCCGGGCATTTGAGCGCACCCCCACTGCCGCCGGGGATTGAGATTTGATAGCTTTTCTTAAGAATTATGATTTTCTTAATTACACCTTAAGTAAAGGCAAATTTGGAGTAGTGATGATATTTTCGAGACAGGTATCTATCTATATAGAGAGATCCTGCTAAATGTAAGTGTAAATGTTTCTCTTGTTGGCTTCTTGGGAAAGGTGGGAGAGGGTGCCAAGGGATGGCGAGGCACAAGGAAAACCTAGCACAATAAGGATGAAAAGAAACCAGTTTATGTATTCCAGATTTACTTTCTCTTATCAGTTTTTCTGTTCAAATAACCATGCCATTTGAAAAGAACATGTAGGTGGTTCCAGCAGTGGGTGAGGAATGAGGGATTTTAGTTTCCTCTTCTCCCCCAGATGCCTTCATTTTCTGTTAAGTTCTGAGGCTCACCTGGGCCAGAAAACCTGACTGAATGTGACTGGGGTGTTAACTTGCTTGAGTATTAAAATATATTCCTTCTTCTAGAAAGACAGGGATATTGAATTAATTTGATTCCTTGAGATTTTCCATTTAAAATACCACTCAACAAAAATTCCAAAATAAAAAAAACCCACTTTTTATTGTGAGTTCAAAATCATCTTAGAAATTACTTCCTTAGCTTGAGATACTGGTTAGAACTAGGATCTGAAGTGTTTTGAAGAAAAATGGGAGGGGTCTTTTTAGGGCTAAATTTTTGTTTGCATTCTCCACAATTGCAAAAGTGTTGCTAATTCTATTTTGTTTAAATAAAATTGGAATCTCTTAGTGCTCCTAAGACCAAGAGTTTTAGATCAAGTCTCCTCCTCTTTTTTTATTAAAAAAAAAATATATATCTAAAAATGCTCAAGAAGCCTGCTCCTTAACTCAGTTTTGCAAGTAGTTCTTGGGTTTTTATTTTCTTGCAAGTGTATCTGAATGTGTTCTGATAATACATGTATTCTCAGGCCCTTAACAGTTTGTATGATGTACAAATCAACCTATATTACTAATAATGAATAAAACAGAGCTCTATACAAATGACATTTTCTCGATGAATCCTGCACCTCACTGCATATCAAAGTCAACTTTCTCTTTATAAAATGGAAATATTCATAGGAAAGGAAAATGATTTCAGAAAATTAAATTACACTAAGCACACAACAAGCACCTATCAACCAAACCCAGTTCAGAGATGTCTTTGGTTATTGAAAGAACCTTAAAAAATGCAGGAGTTGACATTTTCCCCTTTCTTAGGAAACATTAGATTTCTAGAATGTATATTTGTGATTAGAAAACCTTAGCTAGAATAAGTTCCACTGTTGATTGATATTCTGTGGTTTTATTGACTATGAAAATTGTTGACTTAATATTAAAGAAAATAGAAAAAAGAATTTAAATGTCAAAAATGATGGAATTTCTCTGTACACCTAGTCAACTCTAAAGCACAAGCATATTAAACACTAATTAAAGGACAGTTTCTTGAGTTAGAACAGAAAATTAGGCCAATGAAATTGTTTCTTATTCCACAAAAAATATGAATATATACATATTATTATATTATAGGTAATGTAATATAGACCCATGGTTGTTACTGTAATGTGTGTGAAGGGTGCAGACAAGCCTGCTTGTTTTGTTCAGGTCTTCCTGAATATATTTCTCTTTTAATTCCTCTTCTTTAGCAAGAAAATTAAGGAATGAGGAAAGGCTAAATTATCATTAGACTGTGTCTGTGTTCCTTTTGTCACACCTGCCCTTCCTCTGGCCTTGCCTTGGAGGCTGTGAATACTTCCTTTCCTGCTTGTTGAGGAGCATGAAGGATGGAAGGAATGGATGCAAGGACAAGAATATTGATCAGACAGGCGCATCATTGCATATGAAAACAAGATGGATACATTGAAATACCGTTAAATCCCAGCTAGGTGGTTATCTGGGGAGGGAAGACTTGTGTGTGGTAGCTGGCAGGCTAATGACATAAATCTCTTGGGGAGAGTGGAGAGGCTTCCTGCTTTTGGAGTGGCCTCCCTTTCAGCTGCAGTGAAATCCACAGGGCTTGATGACGTTTGGCTTCAGTGAGTAGAGCTGCAAGGACACCTGTGTGCATCTGGTTGGAGGCAGGTGTGTGTGTGTGTGTGTGTGTGTGTGTGTGTGTGTGTGTGTGTGTGTGTGAATTTGTGTAGCTAAGGTCTAGGTGCTTAATCAAAAATTCATTTGCAAAAATACTGCTCCTAAAATTCTGCCATGTCATCAATTGGGGTCAGTCACCAAGGTCACTAACTTGCCCCAGGTTCACTTATGAACTGTGGCAACACTATTGCTTTTGATGGTAAGAATATGGCTTGTGTCATGTCTTTGGTTTTTTATGGTACTTCCTTAGAGGGTGGCAAGGCTCTAACCACCCACTCCTCCCTTCCTGATCCCCGCAAACAAAACCATTCTATCACTTGAGCCATCTGCCGCAGGTGTAATGGATGGCAGGGGGCCGACCTAACCACACTTCAGTCTCTTCTAGGTCGTCACCGCTCTGCACCAAACAAATGAGTCCTGTTTCGCCACTAGGGTGCCGAGGTCCCTGGCAGCATTCAGTGCTTAGAAACCAGAGCCAGCTGACAACACACGAAATACACAGGCACAGAGAAAACGCCAAGCCAACCCGCAACTCCCTTTGCTCCCTCCCTCTGCTCTCTGTACACATGGAGGACACGTACATAGCCTTTACGCGTTTTAAAGCCCTCGCGACTCTGAATTCTTGGTTACTTGTGTCGGCCTTCCGCATTGCACATAGCCCCTGGTGTGTGCATGTGTGTGTGCGTGTGTGCGCGCGCGCGTGTACGCGTGTGTTTAAAACGCTTATTGGTAGGTCAGCAGCAGCTGATCAGACATAGCAATCCAATAACCTTTTTGACTACTTAAATTTTTCGTTAAAGGTTTTTCTTTTTTTAAGGAAAATAGGAGAACTGTAAATTTTCTCAACTCTCGGGTTCCCAGTTTAGGTTCCAGGGAACGGCAGAGCAGGGCAATCCTCGCCAAGCCAAACTTTCCCTTTGGAAGGTTTGAGCTAGGCGCAAATTGTCACTTCACCACACAGCAGCTCATTTGCACGCGATTGTGTAAAAGGGGGGCAGTGGGAACCCGCAGCATAGGATGGAAAATCGAGTGGCTCTAAGCCCCCCATAATAGTTTGGAATCCTGGCAGGATACACAGGGTGTCCCAGGGCTAGAGTCCAGGGTTCAACCTTCCAGGCGCACAGCATCCTCTGGTGCCAGCCGTCAGGCTGAAGCCTTGCCGGCCGCCTCCCACCTCCGCCAGTCCGCTCGCACCCCACCCCATTTTCATCATTTGAACAGCCCTAGGTGATGGTACCCATTTCTCAGGCCTGGGTTTTGGGCAGAGGCTGGTTCCTGCCAGGAATCGAACTCTGCTGCCCCCAGAGTACTTACCCCAAGCGAGGACCTGGCAAATGGTGGCCCAGAAGCGTCAAGTTTCCATTCCCAGCCGTTGTGCCAGATTCCCCTCCTGCCTGCCGCTCCTCTCGGTAGGCTCGCGCCTCTCTCTCTCTCTCTCTCTCTCTCTCTCTCTCTCTCTCTCTCTCTCTCTCTCTCTTTCTCTGATTTCTTGTGACTTTTAGAGGCAAAAGCTTGCTTATTCAGAGAAGAGAGGGAGGGGAGAGGAAAGGAGAGAAAGGGAGGGGGAGGGGAGGGGAGAGAGAAGTAGAAGGGGGATGGAGGACGAAGAGGAGGTGGAGAATCAGAGGTAGTGAAGGCTTAGGTGGAGGAGGAGGAAGAGGAGGTGGAGGGATGGGAGGGGTAGGGTGGAGTAACCGAAGATGGGCTGGGACGGGACTGCGAGGAATAAATTGCTCCCCACCCAGCTGCAGTGCGACGCCCCCAGCGTCCCGGGGGAGCCGGTGCGTCAGATCGCGGCTGGCCTAGGCGGGGCAGTACAAAAGCGCCGCGGGACCCCCTTCGCGGGCTTCTGCCCAGGCAGACCGAGCGCTGGAGGCCGCCCCACTCTTGAGCTCGGACCGCGGAGAGCTCTCCTCCTCCCGGACAGTGGTAACTGTCTAGGGGCTCCAAGCTCCACGCAACTTTGATTTCATTCCCAGGCGCCTGTCCATCCTCGCCTGCGTCTCAGACAAGAGCTGGAAGCCCGCGCAGCCCCGCGCGTTCTCACCCGGCCGCCGGCGCCCACCTTAGCCATAGCCAGTGGTGCTAGTGCCGCTTACCCGGCAGTTTTCTCACCGCCCGCGCTCAGCCTTAGCCGCGCGTCTCAGTTCATTTAGGGCACTCCTTCAGCTTGTTTTTATGGAGGTGTGTGCGTGTGCGTGTGCGTGTGCGTGTGCGTGTGCGTGTGCGTGTGTGTGTGTGTGTGTGTGTGTGTGTGTGTACCGCGCACACTCCAAGGTGAAATGTCGGCACGAAAAAGTAGCTTCGGTCTCCTGTAGCTTGGAGCCGATGACCAAGTCCGATCATATACAGTATTTGAGATTGTTACATTACGCAGCAAGGACCGAGGCGAGAGGTCACCCGGATCGTTTCAACTGAGTCTCTATACAGCAAGGGCCGTTTATTCTTATTATTAAATACGAAAATAAGCTCTACAAATAAAGAATAGTTTCAGAGAAAGGAGGTACATAGTAGTAATGGTCAGGAACCAAAAGTGATTGAAATGGTTTTCTTGAACAAGGGCATCCACGATGGGTAAAGGTGGAAGCCTCAGACCGGTAAAAAACAATTCATTACATGATGGGATTAAAAAATAGGAGCATGCTTTTCGGCATAGACGACCCATTAGTTCTCTATAAATGCGTTAGGCCAGCCCCATGGACAGATTACATGGCAGCTTTTAATGTACAAACACGGGGATACTACTACAGAGGGTGTGCACAAGAATTTATAGAACTCTGTGTACACATACATACTCATTTATAAAAAGTTTGAACTCCAGCACCCTAAAGTAATAAAAAAGTATGTTTTTCTCAAACAACTATCCTTATATATAATTTTCCTCTGCATTTCCTTGCTGACCTGTAGGTGCAACATTATACACAGTAGGTACCAGGATCGACATAATTCTGCTTACATTTACTGTGGATGGCATGTCAAAAAATGCCAGAGGGGGAAGGGAAATCTTGAGGGGTGGGGAGGTTTTATTAACAAGTATATTCTTTCACAACAGTTTAATTTAAATAATAGCAACGATGTCACAATAACCATCTTCCTTCTCCCACTCCAGTGAAACCACTGGATGGTTTGGTGAATAATGCATTTGTGTATTTACTTAAGGGATTATTATTGCTAAAGACTGACAGTCCTATCCTGTGGTATTAAAAAGCCTGTGAATATGAAATTGTTAAATATTTGGCTTGTTTTAGAACCTATACTTGCCAAGTCTTGTTCTAGAATAAGGATGCTAAAATGTTGTTAGGTTGTGCCCACCATAGTTTTGAAGGTAAATGGAACAAATCAGTTGTTATTTAAAAATTGTTAATTGTAGGCAAATAAAAGTATTTCTTTTCAGCAAAACAAGTCGGTGTGCAATCTATTAAATAAGAAACATCTTTTACCAATCCAAAGTGGAGTTTTAAACATTCTTGTGGAAGAGTGGTGATAGGAGAGGACAGAAGAAGCACGCAGAGCCCAGCCTGGCCTGCCCTGGGGGCTGCATGTGCCAGGAGTGCACACTACATGCATAACCACACCTCAGTCCTTGAGGTTGAGGCTCGGTTTCTGAGGATGATGACATGTTTAGAAGTGGTATTTGTATAAGGGCAATGTTCAGACTATAGTACAAAGGCATGAAGAAGACAGAACTCATTTTTCATTATTTAACAATTGCTTAATAATTAAACTTCTCTACTTATTGAATGCCATTTTAGAGGATTTGTTTTTCCTTTGGGCTATTAGGCAGTTTATTTCTAATGGGGCTTCAGAGCTGGGTTCTCTGGAGGAGAGGGAGGGAGCTCAATAAGGCACAGCTTTGAGGTACAGAACAATTCACATAAAATTAAGTATTTGACTATCTGATGGATAGAGGAGAACAAAAAAACTTTGGGTTATATTTAAGTATGGCTTAGCAGTTTGCAAAACTTTTTTATATTTTAAGCAGTCAACTTTATAAATTACATTCCTTTTTTCTTTCCTTTTAAATCATTTACAACCTCAGAGATTTTTTTTCTTCCTTACTAGCAAAATGCCCTCAAAGGCTTGAATTAGACAGCAAGAAACCACTGATGCTCCAATGATGTACCTTTCAAAGATTTGGGACCTTTTATGAGACTCAAGAAAAACCTCCAAATAGAAACTGGTTCAGTGGTGAATGAACTCAGGAGTTTGCTTTATCAATCCTTTAAGTACCACGTGATTAGACAGGAAAGGCCACTTGAACACACAGCCTGATTCTGGGCAAAATCATTTTTTGTCTTTTTAGCTAAAAATATAGTTACATTTCCAAGTTCCTCCCAGGAACAGATGGCTGCATGTCAGGTCTGGTTCCTACCCAGATCACCACAGGATCTTCAGCTGACACATGAGATCCAGAAAGTGGAATTCTTGAAGAAACTCCAGTGGGTTTCAAAAGGGGGGTGGGTGGGAAGGTGCTGCTTCCTGATACACATTTTTTTGTTTTTTTTGTTTTTGCTGAGATCTCCTGTGATGATAAGCAATGGTTTCCACAGCACCAAGGCAAGTAGGAGTTCACTAGTAAAGTTTTGGCCATGACATTTTAAGGGGGGCTAGTTTAAACTTTGTTAAATAATTTCCCCTGCATCTCCTACTCTTCTCCCTGCTTATCTTATCTTTTACCAGATTAAAAAAAAAACTTATTTGTAAGAACTCACTGCTGGGGTTGTGCTACAATTAACAGAGAGGTACACGGGCACTTCTGGTCATGTAAATAACCGTGTAAAGGGTCTGCCAGCTTCACCTGGAAGTTTTATGTCTGTAAATGAAAGCTGCTTCAGAGAGAGACACGTTTTTATTTGTGTAGCTGCAACTGGAGTCTTTATTAACTGTGAGTTTTCAGCTGAATTCGTCAGTCTGAATTAAGGAGTTGGGAGATATGCCCAGATCTTCTGGAAATAACCACTTGAACACCTAGCCTCTGGCCATGACGTCACAGTTACTGTCATGACTCTCTGAGCCTTTGCTTTTAACTTTTATATCATCTTTGATGACATGAATTAGTCCTTTCTCGACTAAACGGGGAGATGCAAATAGCCTTCGAGTTGGTCGCTTAGACCTTATTCCCTATTTTATTATTCAAAATTAAGCCCATTACCCACAATGGAGGATTTGGTTCTTTAAGGTTCAAACCCATCCTTAGGTCTGTAACGGTTCAAACCCAGCCCTTAGCGCGGAATTCCTTGAAGGCAACTAGTTGGTCTCCACAAGTATAGGCTGAAGGTTTAGAGACAGAGATGCCACTATTCCTAAATTTTCTTTCGTTTCTCCCAAATAAAATGGAGGGAGACAATACATGAAATCCTCCTCTACGGCTTACCAAAACTGGCAAAAGTTAAACATTTTAACTGGGCAAAAGTCCCCGTGGTCTTGTATCTTAGAAAGGGTCATGAACCGACCGTCTCTGGCTGATTTTGAGACTTTGAGACCTGTGCCAGCCCAGAGGGCTCTCAGGTAAAGCTACCAAGATGAAGGCGGGGTTCCATGTCGCCTGCAGAGGTCTTTTACCTAGAATCTCTGGCTATTGAGTCTTAATTCACACTTAGCCACATTAGCAGGGGGATTGGTAGGTTAATAAAAGGCAAATAATCATGGGGTGGGACCTTGTAGTTTCTACCAGAGGGACTCTGGCCAGAAAAGAGAGCGAATGTGGTCGGCCCCCTCCACGCCCCTGGCGCCTGGACTTTAGGCCACCCGCGGCCGCGGCGGAAGACCTCAGGTGAGCGACTCGGGGGTGGGGTGGGACTCTGGAGGTTTGTCCCAGGGCCCGCAGGCCTGTTCAAGTACCTCTCCACGATCTCTTTGACCTGGGCGGCCATCTCGCTTGGTATTTTCCTGCAAAACACACCTGCTGCCGCGGATCAGGTACACCTGACACCAGATGTAGTGAACAGAAAAAGAAAAGAGAAAACCCCACCCTCCTTAATTCCCTTTGGTAAGAGCCCGGGTTGCCAAATCGATTACATAATGCCAGCTCAAGCTGACACCTGTGCGGGCGCTAGAGCTGGGTCGGATTCTGGCAGCGGCTCAGGCCTGGAGCGCTGGCTCCGCGGCGCCAGGGCCAAAGGCCAAGGGGAAGAGGAACGAATTTCGGACTGGAGGGCAGCGCCTCGGACCGGGGACAAGGTGGGAGGGATGGATCCAGGAGGGGAGGCTTCAAGGGTGGTTCCCCAATACCTTGGGGAAGGAAAAAATCAAAGCCTCGATTTCGAGATTTGAGAGTCCTCTCAGGGGACATCCGACACCCTTCGCCGCCCCAGGCTGGGGTGGGCTCCCTGGGGCGCCCCTTTCCGGCTTCTTTAAGGGCGGGCTACTCACCTGCTGCGCGGCCTCAGGGAGCTCTCGCTCTGGCCTTGGCCCTCCTCCTGGGTGCTATTGACTTCAACCTTGGAGGTACCCACGGCGTGCCCTGATATGATGCCCTTTGCCCCGAAGGTGGACAGTGGCTTCATTCACGATCATTGAACCACCTAAGAGAAGCCCAATCCTGCAATAAGGTCCCGGCAGGTATCTTTTGCCTGCAACTGAGCAGGTCGGGCAAATGGTGGGTTATTAACGCACTGAAGCCCGCCCAAAAGACTTGAATGTCTAGATCTTTGGGGTCTTCAAAATAATCCGTGAAAAAAGGCCAGTCCCCAAACTGCTAGGATATCCACCATCTCCAGCTTCCCGGCTAAGGCGAAGGACCTCGGACCGGGTACACTGCTCTTTCAGAACCCATATTAATGTTTCCAAGATTTTTCTCCAAAAGAGTTACGAGCTCCTCCGGTGACCTTTCCACCCGCCAAGACATCGTATCACTTGTCAGGTGGCTTACAAAGAACATGAACTTGGGACAGCACTGTTGGAACAAACCCAGGCTTCGTTTCATGCAGTTACTAGGGGTTTAATGGAGGCCCTGGAGAAATGACTCAGTCTCCCCAGTCCGTAGTGGAAAATACTTTTTAGACTTTGGTTGAAAAAAAAAAATAAAGCTAGATCTCAAGCTCAGTGTGGATCTTTAAAACAAAACAAAACAAAACAAAACAAAACAAAACAAAACAAAACAAACCACGCGCACTCAGCAAAAGGCAGGGACCTTCAGGGGACATTGCAGGCGCCCCCTTCCTCGCGTGTTAAGACCACCAGAGTCAATTTCTTGGCGTCCTTCTCCACCCCAGCCCCTTTTCCCCCTTGCCCAGACCAAATCCACAGGCACGAGAAACGTCGTCGTTTCTATTACTGTCCCGTACTAATTTCAAAGGCATCTGGGCATTTTTTTTTGTACTTCGCACCTTAATAAATATTCTCTCACATTCGTGTGCGCCTAGGAAGGTGTGGACCTGACCCCCTTTTCCCCGTGGCTACAGAGTTGGAGAAATCCGCCCCGAGGAGCAGTGTGCTGGAGGGACCAGAACGCGCTCCGTCCAGCCTCAGAAAGCTGGAGCTCAGAGCCGGGCCCCACCGAACCTGCGCTCGCAGAAAAAAAATGCTATCTTCACAGCAATTAGCAAGCCCCACAAACAGAAGTTAAAGCGCGATGGCACTATACCTTGCCCCGGGTTACTCAGGCGCCTGTCTCCCATTTTGGACATGCTGGAAGTGTTGTGTTTGGGGAGGTTTGCTTTGGCTGGGTTTGGGTTCCCTATATAAGCCCTGCTGGAGTACTGTTCGGAGGAACGCGCCTTGATGGACTCGGGAGTTAATTAACGCGCGGCTAATTTGAGCTCAGCGAGTGGGGGGCTGCCGGCCGTGCGGCAAGCCGCGAGGGGCCAGTGACCTCTAGTGGACACTAGGGGATATGCAGCTCTGGCGAGTCTGCACTCGGGGCTTCGTAGCCGAGAAATCATGCCTGCGCGGAAAACTGGTGTCTCCTCTGAAACCCGCAACAGAGAAGGACACGAGTCCCTAATCCAAGCGGGAAAGGGCCCTCAGCAAGTGATGTCGAGCAAGGGCATTAGCTCTTCTGATATATCTGAAATCTGAACCCAATGCGCTTTGAAAACACACACACAAATTCTTTTTACCGTTCTTTTTGGCGAGGGAGGGAGATGTTATGGAAAGGGTTGGCGAAGCGAGTTTCCAGACCTTCGGTTTCTGAACCTAGAGGAAAGCAGGGCCTTCAAAGTTCCGGGGGCCTTCAGCCAGTCAGGAAAAGGAGTCGAAATTTGCTTCTGTAAATGAAGTTCCTCGGTGCTGCTATGACCTGTTTTTCTTTAAAGAAAAAAGAAATAGAAGACAGCTTAGTTGGCTAACAAGAGGAAAGCAAGAGAACAAATGTGTGCAACAGCGCAGATGCCTCTGAGTTCACACCCCTCAGGCAAATAAAAAGACAACACTTCATAAATACTAATAACAAATACAAAAGATCCTTTTCACAAATAAAAATAAAGTCCAGGAGGATAAAACGACCTGCCCTCTTCCTTTACCAGTTAGCTGAACTAGTGCAGAAGTTGTTTTGAAAAAGATTGTCCCGGCACTGCGTGCGTCAAAAGCAAAACATGTACCATGGCAATTCAGACCGAAAACCCCTTTTTTGAATATATAGAATCCTGCATTTTATCTTCCCCCGTTTCGCACACCGCAGCAGAACGCCGAAGCTGGCGAGGCCCCAAAAAAATCCCACCGCCCGGCTCAGGGTTCCGCCGTCTGGCAGTGGCTGAGCTAAACTCCGCCGACCACAGGTCCGCCTGGGCGCTTCCTCCCGGGTCCTCCTGAGGGCATCTGAAGGTTTCGTAAGTCTCCTTTCCTCACAGGCACTCTTCCCCCGAGGACCGAAGCCCGAATTACGAGCAGCTCCGAGCGGGAACCCGGAGGTGATCCCCGCCCTGGGGGTGGCCTCTAGCCGGTCGCGGGCCCTCCCCCCTTTGTAACAGGCTGTTAGCCGGTGCTGGACTCTGTCCTTAAGGGCTGGGGAACCCAAGGCGTTTCTTCTCCCAAATCTCGAGCACAACCGGCGTGGTTCTGGTTTCACACCCGGACTGAGGATCCTCGCCTGCAGCGCAGTTGTAGGGTTGCGCCGATACGTATCACAGGAAGCGCAACTGGGGCCCTGTGTCTGGGGACCTCAGGGTCCTGGGGAGTCAGCGGGCCAGAGGGACAGTAACACTGGTGGACAGAATAAAGTTTGGATCGCGGGGGTGAGAAGGGCTGAACTGGGCGCGGGGCGCAGGAGGAAGGCAATGTAATTTCGCCGAACTTTCCGCTCTCCTTTTTGCGCCTTCGGACATGTGCTGTAAAGTAAGTCGCAGAGGCCGGGAGGCTACATAGGGAGCAAGGCCTCGCGCCGCAGGGCTGTAGGCTGATTTCCGAGTGGACTGTGGGCACGTGTGTGTGTATGTGTGTGTGCGCGGGCGCGCGCGCGCGCGCGCGCGCGTGTGTGTAGGGGGCTTAGCTCCGCCGAGAGAGGGAGCTCCCTTTCCCTCCTTCCTCGGCCAGAGACGTTGAGGGGCCCCTGTGAATGGGACCGTCCGGAGTTGGAAGTCAGCCCCGGGATGTAGCAGTAGTTACCCGCCCCCTGTTCCCCGCCCCAGCAAGGCTGTCAAACCACTGGGCGGGGTGGAAGTTGGGGGGAAACTGCCCTCAGCAGGGCAAGGAATGAACGAGGAAAATGAACCCATGGGGACAGAAGATTTCAAAGAGCTCTATTTCATTGCAGACCAAAGAGGAAGAATTGAGAGCTGCTTAAGTGAAATAGGAGCATTTTAAGTTCCAAATATAAAATATGTTACAACAAAATACAACAATAAAATAATTTTAATAGGTAAGAGTGAATTGTAATAAAGATAATAGATTTTCATAGATATGAGCAAATTGTAATAGTTTAAGAAATGATTTCATCAGTAAAATAACCAGGAAAGTAAACAATTTTCAATTTTAAAACACCAGACGTGACTCGCACAGCAATAGTGCACAGGGTAGTAGACGTTTTCCTTGACCTCCCCTCCACCGCGCCGCAGGAGTCCCCTATAACCCGAGGTGGAAAAACCCATCCACTTCGAAATCAAATAGAAGAAAACTTGGAGCTTCCCAGCAAGGATCGACTCGCGTTCCTGACCCTCTTGCTTGCTTGACTCTGTGCCTCCAGGAAATGGCGCGAAACACTCTTGACACCGCTTGGGTGTGCCGCGTACGTGGGGCCAGAGGCGGGGAGCTTACCTAGGTTCAAGTAGTCTTCAAAATCAGAGTCCTGCGTACAGACCCTTTTAAACTTGGTTACTTACCTTTGGCCACGTAGCAGCCCTTTTTGCCCTGTCGTCAGAGGCAAAGGGTGCGCTCGCCTCCCTGTAAGCTAGGACTTGCCCAGGGTAAACCCGAACCCACCAAGCCCCAGGGATCCCGTCTCAGGCCTGAGCGTGCCAGTTTCAGCTTTGTTGGTGGCGCTCATAGCGGCCCCACACTTGTCCTGGAGAATCAAAATAATGAGGTTCGGGAGTTCGGCGTGGTCCTAGCACCCAAGGTCACTCACTATCTCAGACCCTGGCATATCTCCCCTAGAGTAGGAGAGGCAGTGCACATTTCCTGGTTTACAATATCTAGCAACACGGCACTGCTGTTAAAGGGGTCACCCTCTTCTCACATGATTCATGTTCAGGTGTCCCGGGTAAGGTCTAGAAGAGACTGGATTTGAATAATGGGCCCTTAGAACCTCTGAGAACCTGGCTAGCCAGTGGCCACCATCTCCCTCCTCAACCCTCAATTCCCTCAGCCACTGGTGGGGGTGGAAAGACTCAAAAGTAGGGCAACTAACTCTCTGCTCCCCCACTATCGGGCGTCCTCCTCCTGGCCCGCTAGGAATCGGAGAGACTGTCTTTTGTAGTCTATCTGGGAAATTTGTAAAATAAATACATAAATAAATCTGTAGTCTGGGATAACAGGTAACCTGCGGCCCTTGAGAAGTTGTCGCAAGCTCTGGCGACCAAGGCCTGGCGAGCCCCGGGGCCAGGGAGCGAGTGGGCAGCCAGGGACCCGAGCCGCAGCAGCGCGGGAGCTCTGCGCAAGGGTGGTGGCTGGATCTTTCTGTCGGATGCCAGCTATTACATTTACTTCTTGGTTTTAGATTTTATGTGTGGAGCGATTTAGAAAATAAATTTGGACTATTTAAGCTGTCTTACATAAAAAGGGAACCTGAAAAGCCTAGCGCTCTGTGTTTTCTTTTCCCTATTTTTCTCTTTCTCAATTTGCCAACTTTTAGCGTCTGGGTGGAGGGTAGGGTAGTGGACCGACCAGAAGAAGGCGTGGGACCGGAAGTCTGAAAGTGAATTTTTCTCTACCTATTTTACCCTCACTGTGTGATTCCGTGTTAAACGAAGACCACGGCGATGATGAAAATCTGAGCAGTAATGTAAATCCATTTTGCTTATCCTCCGTGCACTTTGGGAAAACCTTGGGAATCAAATCGCATGAACTTAGATTTCTGTCCTGAAACTTTTGAATGAGAGATGAGGATTCCTCTTACCTCCTCCGCACTTCAGGAACGGCACCTTCTGAACCCCCGCGAGCCACGTAAGAATCGTCCTGAGAGCATTTCACCCCCATCCAGGCGCTGCCACCCGCACCAACCCTTCAACTTGGTCCTGTTCCATTCCCTCTACGTGCTTATTTCGAGCCCACCCCTGGAGTTGCTCTGGCAGAAGAATTTCGCTGTGAGGTTCAAAAACACATTTAGGAAGTCCCAGGGGAGGCTGCACTTTGGGCTGAACCTGGGGTAGAGGCGGACTTTGAAACTTGGGCGGGGCGCCGAGGACTCCGCAGTCCTGGGAACTGGGCACCTGGTTGAAGGGCACAGTGGGGCGGTTTCCCCGCGGAGGCGAGAGCCTGAAGGGCGCCGATCTGCCATCACCTTGAGCGTGCGAATCTCCTCTTGGCTTCAACCTTCCCATCTGCTATAGATGAACATTAAGGAGACTTACTCATTTTAAATAGATTTCCCCCCTACCCCATATATCTCTTGTCCCCACGCCCTGGCCAAAACATTGTTAATCTCCCCCCTCCCCCGCGCCGAGTTAATCTAAAAGAACCACAAAGCTATGCATAAGACATAATTTACCTGCCCATGTATTTCTGTTAATGGAAAAACTTTTTTTTAAACTTGATTTTTAGTTCTGTTGATCTAAAAATACAAGTATCTGGAAAAACTTAGGAGCTGAGTAATGCAGTTACCACTTACGTAATTTTAAAGCACTAGGACTTGAGCCGAATGCTTCATACAGTTTTCTTATGCTGTTTCACAACAACCATATAGAATAGTTTTTCCTTCTCTTTTCTTCCTCCCTTCCTCCTTTACTCCCAATTTGAAAATTGCAGGGTAGAGACATTAAATGGTTTTCACAAAGGTGCAGAACTGATGAGTGGCAGAGGCAGAGTTTAAGCACATCTACTGGTCCCCTAAGTGGAAGCTCTTATCTGAGGTCAGCAGGGTTTCCGGTCAGGCCACATCCCTGCAGTCCTCGCCAGTACCTTCCAGCCCTGGTTCCGGCTTGCCATTAAAAGGGAAAGCTGTGGGGAGCTAAGACGGAGTTAACTTCCAGTACAGGAAGCTTGAGCCCCTCTCACATTCCCACTCTAGTCAATGCTCCTGGTAAGGGGCAGTGCCAAACCCTGTGTGGTGTTAATTCTGGCTCTATCTCTTGGTCTTTTCCTCAGACCTCTGCCAGAAACTTAAACATTTTTCTCTCCTTGGTGGTGTATTTATAAAATTTGAGGTTAGAAGTGTGGATGTAACCGAATGATAAAAAGCGGGTAGTCAAGTACCAGGAATAAAGGTGAGAAAAATAGTAGTCCCTCAAAGGTTGTTGTAATAATGCCAATATACAGAGAAAATTGATATCTTCTGATATGCCAATTGGAGTACCGTTTCTGACTGTTGCAGATACTCAGCACTGTACATATAATCCCAAAGAAGGTCTTCTATGGTAGGTATTTTTAAAGATGTTGCTTTACAGTAGATTTACTATTAGGTTAACACTAAATTAAAACAGAGGATACCATAATATTAAAAATTAACATTTTAAAGCTAACATTGTGATGTATTTAGCACTGCAGCCACTTTTAAAATTCAGGAAAGCACAAAGTCGTTTAGGACACAATCATCAGTGGACACAAAGGACAAAAAATGTTCTTTTTTTATAGTTTCTTTTTTTTTGCAGCAAGGAAACACTTATAATTTTATGTAAAAAATACTCTAGAATCACTATTTAGGATGGCTGAAATTTTGAGTGCAAAACTTTGTCTCCATCAACCAAACTTAGCTTTGCTTTCTTTTTGTCTTTTAGGGTCTTGCTCTTTACCTTCCAAGTCAATGATTAGATCAAGTGATAAGATGAAACCATGATTTTTACCTAGACTCCAAATCCTAGGCCCGCAGTCCCTTCAAGCTTCCCAGTTCAGATGAAAATTCTAATCAAAATGTTTGGAGTGAATACCCTTGTTTTTGTTTTTGTTGTCTAACTTCAAGTGATGGCTTCATAGTTTTCCTACAAAGGCTCATTTTTCTAAGGCTGGCCTGTCTTTATGCTTAAACTCATCAGTGCAATTATGGAGAATGACCATTAGAGAAAAAACTGGACTTGCATCTCTGGACCATAAGACTGTTGAGCAAAAAAAAATGCCAAAGACAGAATTAGAATTTAGAGAGTCTAGAAGACCAATTTCTAACTCTTAGACATTAACTGTAAAAGAACATTCAATAACAATTTAAATTATTGGGCTTGTGTTGGAAATAAGACTATGTTAAAACCATATTCACCTTTTTCTCCCTATTACACTTTCTTCATAGCCTTTACAATTGCTGTTCCCTATGCCTGGAACCCTTCCCCGAGAAATTAACATGACTGCATCCTTCTCATTGCTTGTTCAGAGAGCATTCCCAGGCAAAACCCTCCACCCCATTAGTCTTTCTCTGCCACATTCATATTTTTTACCTAGACTCCATAATATTCTGAAAGAGCTTTGTTTCTATATTTGCCTACCTTTTTTTTCTTTGTCTACCTCTCTTAGAATATAAACTCCAGCAGTCATCACCCTTATTCTCCACATGACAGGTACTTAGTAAATATTGAATAAATGACTAAAGATGTTTATCTATAATGTGGATCATCTTTTGGGTGTCTCTATCATTAGCTACTCTTCATTCTGATGTCCACAAAAAGATGCCTGTTCTGATTTACTTTTTGCATAATACTGTAAATTCCTCACCAAAAACTAAGATGAGG